GAAGCCACCTCCGCACAGGATGCAGTCGACATCACCAAACACACAGTGACAGAATCCCATGTGGCCCATGTGAAGTCTGAGGCAAGCCTAGGAAGAGTGGCACCCGCGGGCAGTCCCAAGGCCACGTGCAAGGGCAGATCATCACGGCGCGACGAGCGCTTCGGGTTACGAAGTATTCAAGGCATGAAGAATCTATTCGGTCTCACTGCCATGCCTGAGTCAAACGTCGGTCTCGCTGATGTGACTCCTCAGCCTCAGCCGGTCCCACAGCCGCCAACGGCTGACCCAGCCACTCAAGTCACCCGGAGTACGATTGACCAACGAAGGGCCCCAGCTTCAGCTTGGACGGCCCCAACCGTTCAAGGCATCCGGCAGCTGTTTAATGTCCCTCCGGCGCCTCCTGTCCCTCCTCCACCAGCAGCTGAAGCCTCCGGCGCAGGATGTGTTGGCAAGCACGATTCAGAGTCTGCATGCAGCCACACACAGGCACCCAAGCCCAAGGCCAAACCCCAGCCTTCAGCCTCATTGCTAGAGCGATCCATCGTCCATGACTTGGATGGCATGTTCGACTTTTGGGATTTCAGCTTGGATAAGATGGTCGACGGTATGTCGGAAGATGATCGACTCGACACATGGGAGCGGCTGGCCAACACTCTGGAAGACGACAGCTTATCAACGGCTTACTCGGGTGTGCGTGCCCCAGAAACGGCGATGTCAGTGATGCGCTACCGGCTTGGATTGCGGCTGGGCAGGGAAATCAAGTGCAACCACCACAGCATCTCTCACGCGATCGAATGGAATCCCGATGCACAGGCAGAATGCCTACTATCTGCTCAGCACGAAGGTGGATGTGTGTTTGGTAACATCGCCGATTTCTTCAGGAGCGAGTTGAAGATCTCCGTGATACCACAGCTCCTTGAAAAGCCTGCCATGGCTCTGGATGTTCTCCAGCCATTGCTCCGCACCAATCGGCTGGTGCAAACAAGTGCGCCATGCCTTGCTCATGGCCGCACTTGTTGTTTAAAGACCTGCAACCGGCACATTGCAGGCACGAGCTGCCGCCCTTTCTCGAAGCGGGGTGCCGGGCTGGGATGCCATGACCATGAAATCATCTACTTCATGGCATGGCTGGGGTTGAGATTGGTCCTGCAGGAGGCAGATGTGACACAGGAGAACGTGGTGGGGTTCCCTGTGGATATCATCGAGCAGGCCGTCTCCAGCATCTACCACATCGAGGTATGTGAGCTAGATGCTGTGCAGTTCGGCTGTGCCTGTGCGCGCCGGAGGCAGTTCATTCGACTGCGGCACAAGCACAA